CAATATGCATAGCTAAAATCGGATCGTATACCAAATACATTCAACTTCAAATTTTCGCACGATTTAGAGAAGCGCGAGAAACAACAGAGAAGAAACCTGAAAGTAAATTTTGTTGTTGTTTGTTGAATTTCGTGGAACGTTACTCAAGGGCTCTCTTCGCTAGCTATCCGTAATTTTGAAGTGATAGAATAGAGTAAAGGAAGTTAGTCAACAGCACCAATTGTCAACTCATGGGCTATTCGAGTCGAACAGTGAGATATGACCGTCATTCTTATAACGTACCCATGGCCCCAAAGCACGGATTGCAATTTTTCCCGGTTGTGTTTCTGCATTTTATTCGTGTTAGGTGTTCCCGGAATCTGTTAGCCAGTCTACGTAGTGTTTCGCCAACATATTTTGGTCCATGTCCAGTCATAATACTGCCAGCAATGTAGTTATGTGTACGTCTAGCTGTCTTTGAATCGTCTTGTTCCAGTGTTGGTCATGTCAGTTTCTTTTCATGACAAAGCTAATAAAGTTATCTGTCACCATTCCTAAATCTGGACTGCCAACCCAGACTGCCATTCCCGAGTTCTGACCTCTCGTCCAGCGGTTCTCAAACTTTAGTAACCCTAAGACCCATTTTAATTGAAATTTTTTTCGAGGGCCCTCACACCTATCCATGTTTTTGTTTTGAAAAAAAAAAAAACAGGATTCGTGTACATGAAAAGCTACATTTCAAAATTAAATGTTTTAATTCACATAAATTTAATTTTACAAAATTATTTTTCATTCTCTAAATCATTTTTTAAAATAAATATTTAAATGGAATTTCGGACACGGCTCTTGGACCCTTCTGGAGTACCCTCGCGAAACCCATTTTGAAAAACCTAATTGGGCCTGCCATGGTTTGATGGTTAGGGCACTCGACTCACAATTTGTTGGTCGAGGGTTCAAATTCCGTCACTTCGCATTCTCGTCCTTTCAGCCGTAGAGACGTTATAGTATGACAGTCAATTCCATTATTCGTTGATAAAAAGTGTTGGTGGTGGTCGGTGTTGACTAGCTATCACTTCTAAATAAGGAACGGCTAGCGCTGAGATAGCCCTCTACTCGAATGGCTTTGCACGAAATTCAATAAATAAACTTAGTAGTAGTATTAGATGTGGCATGAATATACCATCTCAAAAACTACCTTATTCACTCATGCATCGACACTTCCATTGCAACATGATTAAATTATTATCTACAATGTATACTTACCATCTTATTTTCGTCGAATCGTAGAAATACCTCTCATGACTTTGTCTTTTACTCTTACTAAGGCTCAATCTAACACAAGAAGCGTTAGCATAGCCATCATATAAACAAAACCAGAACTAACGACAGCGTAAGCACTGGATATGAATGGTGCAGCGTTGCTGACATATTATTACATATTCTTCCCTGCCTGCACTCATACGTTCTTAGAAATTGTATATAAATATAAAAAACACGGTAATTCAAAACATATCTCTAATAAAGAACGTTTCGGAATTGCTTTAAGTTCTAGAATCAGTATTCACACCGTAAAAACATTCCGTAATTAAATATTTTTTTCTTTTTATTACCGCATTTTTAATATTTGCTAGAACTCGTGCATGATATAGAAACGAACAATATAATCCATTGAACTATAGTACTTTTAAAACAGCATGTTTAATATGATATATAAAAATTACATTTTTTTTTCGTTTTATGATCACAACAAATGTATTGCTGTTAAGATATGTTTTCAATGTATTCATTAAGATGTTAACTAGAGCAAGCTATCAATCGTGATGATAATTTAATAATCGAAAAACTTCGACTAATATCTATTTTGGTACAAGTCCCCAGTGGCACAGCGGTATGTCTTCGGACTTACAACGCGGGAAACCGGGTTTCGATACCCGTGGTGGGCAGAGCACAGATAGCCCATTGTGTAGCTTTGTGCTTAACTTCAAACAAACGAACAAATATTGGTACATAAACTAAAGATACGAGTAATATATATATATATAGCACAAAAATATGTGTGTCTGTCTATTCGTCCGTTATCTACTACTAGGTCACTGAGCCAATCAACTGTTCTGGGATGATAGTTTGAACAAGGAGCATATTACTGGGGGTTACCAACCCCTCCACCGACCATTATTGCTGTTATCGAGCATTTATTATATTTGACGTAAGTTAACGTTAATTATATTCATAGATAACGCCACGTCCCGACACAAAAAATGTTACATTTTCCATAACACAACATACACAAAGTGTGGTGGGGTGGCACACAAACGTCTTATATGTCTCAAAGAGTGAGTGCTCTAGCACTCTCTAAGGAGGAATGCAATGAAACAAAATAGCCGCCACTATTGCTATAAATACATAGACTCAATGAAGTTTCTATTCCAACAGTCACCATAAGGCTGATATGACGAGCCAATCCTTGAGTTATACCCATTCTTACTTTGACTGGTGACTTTTCAATTTCGGCCCATAATACACTTCTGCGACCAATGACCGTCAATTAATTAATCACGTAAAACACAGTGAAGGGACATTAAGAGCTGGCTGTTGAAAGTGGGTAACAGAAAGCACTCCTACCACTACTATTATTCTGCTACCTCCTCCTACAAAGTCACTCTGATCATCGCTCAGTGTTATATCGTGTTTTAAGTATAAACATATTGAGTTTTAAAAGTATTGTTGCGTCAGCGAGGTCACGTGACTAGTATCACGCCACCTCCTTCTAGAAATATCTTGTTCCTTCGTGAATTGTCGGGAGACTACTAGATTGGGGGTAGTCTGGTATATATAAGACGGTCACAACGTGACGAATAAGGAGTAATTGAACTGCAGTCGGAGAATGTGTGGGGTAGTGAGTAATTGAATGTATGCGGACAGAATATTGTTGGCCACGTGAGACGTGAGTTATAGCGTTTGTTATAGAGCGACTGTTGAAATTAAGTGTATCGTAAAGTTGTATTTGGAAAGAATAAACCAATTTTATTTAAGAAAGGACTTGTGTGGCTAAAGTTTAGTCGGAAAGAATTTACAGAAAATTAATTAACGAACTAGTAGTTCATGGACATTGACTAGATTGACTAGTAGTTCATGGACATTGACTAGATTGACTAGTAGTTCATGTACATTGAGAGTAGTTCATGGTCTATACATTGTTTCCACTCCTTTACTTAAAAAAGTAACATTTTTAAAAAGTATGTTGCCTTTTATACTTCCTCTTTTCTAAGCAGCCAAGCTCTCAAACGAATAACTGGCATTTACCATTTACAGAAGTGAGTGGAATTTGCCAATAACAAATTACCTGGTTTTCATACAGGAATATTGAAGCATTTAATTAACCAGCTAAGCTATTCGTGGCGGCGAATCAGGAAACAACTACAGCCTCACTCCCCACTAGCTTAACTCAAAAATGTTTGTGTGCTGAGAAATGAAAGTTTAATAGCATATTAACGCAATGTTTGGATAAGAGAGCTCAAGTCTAGTGTAGATTGTGAATAAGAATTATATTTCTGCGGATTCTTCAGTTTTCATAAGTATTCAACTATCGTGAAAACAACATTGTGAAAAACACAGTAAAGGAGTAAAAGTGAGTAAACATAAGATTTGAAACTCGTTTTTCTAAGATTATTTTGTATTAAAGAAACTTAACCGTTGATGTGTAATTAAACTTCTGGTTATAGAATACACATTCAACATGCTTATTGATTGTTCAAAAGATTATTAGGCCATATACAATAGAATATATTTTTGTGTATTCTTGTTTCATGTGATCGTTAATGACTACCATTTTGGCTCTCGATAAATAAAGACACCATCTTATAGCACATCTAAAAATTATGAAATTATCTGAAGCTAGCCTACCCTTATAGCCATGTCTATGCGTGAAATCAGTTCTCAATAGGCAGTCTTCCTCGATGTCAATTACCCACACATCATGATGTCTATATAGAAGCCTCTAATAGTAAGCATAACATCTAACTTTATTCTTGCCGAAACCTTATGTTCACTCTCTCTTATTTCTTCATCTCTGGAGGCAGTTTCACCTCTTTTATTAACAAATCAGGTCCAACAATTGTAGCTATAGAACTAATGTCAATCAATATACTACAAGGTTTGCCATCAATAACTCCATGGATTCATGGATAATTTTCTTCTTATAATGAACTTTTCTCATCTTGGATAAGTGGAGTATTCCCAGCCGAACTTCGCTTCATAAATCCAAATAATTCCCGTTTTTTCATGTTTCGTTATCTCTGTGATGTTCTTTTAGTTGGATTGGATCCTGTCTCCTTGGCATAATAGTAGCTGTTGATGTTTTACATTATTGGATGTAATGGTAAGGGTTTCCACTTGGAGCTCATATTGCATACTGGTCTTTTCCTGCAGTTTCTGGCAATATGTCCCTTTAAATTACATTTGAAACATCTGCTATCTTATGGTTTATTTCTTCCATTCTGTTTCACTTTATGTCTTTCTATACTATTGATAGGGGTATTGTTGTTTCAATACTACATGGTCTAATATTCGCCTAGCTTCTAGAATTTAGATGGTGCCATTAGTAATTTATCTGTAACTTTGATAGATTCCAGTTCAATCATCAACTGCAGAGTTTCCAATAAAGATGTGCATCTACTTTTACCTGATCCTCATCTTCTCGTCTTCTATGTCATCTATAAATTGGCCACCTGTCAACGAGTCCTTCATTTCCTGAAAACATCTGGATAAGATAATTGGACAAACTTTTCCAAAGCTTCTTCAAGCTTGGTTAAGGTCTCTTTTTTTCCTCTTTACCTTTTTCTGGAACTTTTATATGGATACTTCTTTCTAATCCGTCACTCCCAACTTGTTGGATATGGCAACTAATGATGCTTGACAACTGTTATAGTTCTCAGTTGGAAGGTTACTTAATATTGTCAAATCTGGCCCTTTTAATGGGTAGCATAATGGATGACTTGTTGCTCAATATTCCACCTGTTTACTCTGCAAATGATTTTAAACTTAGCTAGGTTTGACTCCCATGATACATTTTCATCATAGTCCATTGGTTTCTCGAGTAGCTGAAGTTGAATTGGCCAGCTAAATTCTGAAACTGGATTTGGTAATGATATGGCAAAAGTAGTCCAGGAAAATCCTACAAATACAGATGGTACAGCAGTAATGGTAACAGGCGTAGACCAAAATGATTCACCTATTTTATACATTGTAGTAAATGGTGTTTTAGACTGGAATTCTTGAGCTGACAGGAAAATAATGGTGACTGGTTTGATTTTTGCACTTACCAATTAATTTTCCAAAAGCTTTATTCTGTCATTGATGTTAATTTCAACATCATTCATGTCTTTCTTTACTTCATCAATTTTTCCATTACAGTCTCTCTATACTTCTTTGGTGTCCTGCAAACTTATGATAATACCTCTGTACACCCATAATAGCTTTATCGATTTGTCTTCAATAAGATATATTTTTATTCTTAATTCTTCTTTAAATATTACACCCCTTTCTATTAACCCTTATTTAAACTGACGTCCCTTACCTTTTGATCATCTTTTAATTTTCCTTAAACTTCTTCTTTGTCTTCTTTTGATTTTCTGTCTCATTCTGTTAATTTAGGGTCTTTTCCTTTTTAATTTTCTTTTAAATTTTGACTCGTCCTTTTCATGACTTTATTTTAACTATTTTATTAACTCCAATAAAACTTTGATATTGCCTCGTGATGTCATCTCGAAAGTTAAAGTTTACTCAATGTTCTATTTTATTTTAACCATACGACTCCAACTTTGGACACTAGTATTGCAATATTGCACTTTAGTTCTTTTAAATTATTGAGCAAAAATATGTTAAGTCCACTCTAAGCGACAATAACAGATTATTTTATTTCTTCCTTAAAGTTGACTATTACATACGTATAGTTATACTTGTAGGCATACGTTTACAAAATGACGTTCAAACGGAAGTACCTCGCTAATGGCATTATGACTAATGTAAAAATAAATTTATTTAAACAGTTTCACAGCTGATTAAATCAAATAACTGAATATACGTGATAATTAATACTGATACAAATGCTATACCGAAACTAAATATTTCACTGATAGGTTACTAATCGACTGGCCATTAATATTTATATCTTATGTCTCGTTTCTAGATATTCATCGAAGTTACTAGATTTTCGTAACGTTATCTAAAAATTCTAGATATTCTAGGCCTACTCCAGTGCATCTACGCCCTCTAGATATCATCTAAATTGAAACCTTAAAAATATAGCTTAGGACAGCTGTTTTTATGTCAGTTATTATAGTATATAACGCCTTACTCTGCCTTAATTTATTCATTGGTAGGTTGTGTGATAACACACACACACACACACACACACACACATATATATATATACAAACGTATTTACAAATCTTTCATTAGTGGCCTTATAATACGGATTTCCAGTAAAAATAAATGGTAGCATTATGGTATTTTCAGGTAAACTCATTTCCATACAAGTATCAAATCGTTAGACCCGCTAATAACAGTAAATTCTACTAGTAAACATTTGGAGTATTGCATTTAATAACATGAGTGAGTCTCTTAGTGCATGTTAAATTAGGAGATTGGACAAATCCGATGAAGTGAACGAAATCTTTATTTCACAATAAATATAGCACGGTGTACGTACTTATGTTTAATTCCACTGCTTTCACTCTTTCCGGGTTGATCTCTAGAACTAAAACTAATTAGTGTCTATACACGAAGATCTAGTAGAACTGAACTAAGAAAAAAAGTGCTTCAATTTTCCAGTTAAACTCGTTTTTTTTGGGGGGTGGTGGAAGGGGGGTTCAGTCGACAGTATTACCTCATGACCCTTGTTTTCTCATAGCATTGGTTAGCTGTAACATGCACACGTTGTCAATTCGGACAGTAAAGGATACTACAATCGTCAATTCTTTCAACATGGCTACTATATATCAGTGGAAGATCTTTTTAGAAAGTACAGACATTATCTACTAAAGAGAACAAAGTGTTACGTCTCTGTCTTCGTTTGTTAATTTTCCGTAGAAATTCTTTCCGAGAAACTTCAGCGATACAAGTCCTTTCTTAAATAAAACTAGTTTATTCTTTCTCAATTCAACTTTGTAATACACTTAATTTCCACAATCACTTTAACTTAAACACACACTATAATTCAAAACGATTCACACACTTACTTACGGTCACTACCGTGCTTGACTCTATGTCATTCTCTATCTCTGCCTGTCTGCAATTCAATTCCGATTAATTAATTTCGCTTTATCTGGCGCATATTGTATATAGAATATACAATATACAAGAATAGAATATATAGAGTTATATTTGATAGGAGTATTTTTTCTTTAATATATTTATATATATAATATGAGTCTTCTTTCTTTAATATATTTATATATATATGATATGAGTCTTCTTACTTTGATATATTTATATATATATATGATAGGAGTCTTCTTTCTTTGATATATTTATATATATATATGATAGGAGTCTTCTTTCTTTGATATATATATATATATAATTCTTATAATGGTTTTGTACTTGCTCAAAGTTTCACTTAAAACATTAACTGTGTTGCAAGTATTTTGAATTTCTTTTTGTTTTTTAGTGTTTTGACCAACCATTGATTAGAAAAAAACATGTTGATAAACGCTATGTAGAAAAGGTATGTATTGCATAAAAAAGTAATCATTTTTAGAAAATACTTTTACTGTAAAAAATAGTTCATTTACCAAAGATACATCCCAATTATAGGGAACCGTAACAATTTCATTTACCAAAGATACATCCCAATTATAGGGAACCGTAACAAACATCTCAGAGTACTCAGTAGTATGTTATCTAGCCCATTCTGGTGTAAACCAGTGCAGTTACACTGGCTAGAGAGACTGGGGGAAGTATTATGAAATTAGACGATATTGAAAGTAAGTTATTTTGAATGATAATTAGACATTTTTTTTTTCTACAGAGTATTGACAAAAGTATTGTGGTAAGAATTCTTCATGTGACAGGTCAGATATGTGTGTTTTGTGAATTATTTTTCCACTAATTCCTAAGTTAAAATCAGGTTTAGATCGTCTTGTCCTGACAAATTTATTAAAACCAAACAAAATTATCCAAACGTCTAATTCAGATGGACACCGGCTATAAGTTGTGAGGTGAGATTGCTTTGTCATTGTCAGTTCGACTGGCGGGATTTGAAAGTTCAACACATAGCAATGTCGGCCGCTTGGGCATACCGAAAATCACATGACTTCCAATCTAGTGTTATTTATATATATATGGCTGTTATGGTGCGAACGCCTATTTCAGGCTGGCGAAGCATGATTATAAAAGATATAATAGGCCTAACATATTGTCTTATGACAAGCATAATTAATGATACGATAGATTGTTTTGGAAACTGTTTACATTAAAAAAATTAAATAACTTTAACTCATGTATTATTTAAGACTGTAAAAAAATACTCAGAGGCAAAAAATAAAAACCCCCACTCAAGTTTATGTGTATGAGGGTTATTTATTCACTCCAATAATCCAAAACTGACGGTAATCTTAAACAAAGATATTATATTTACTGTTCAAATTCACGTAGGTCAACTAACAACGGACAATAACACGACAGAAATAAGGAAAATTAACTTTTAAAAATTATATTCTTTGAAAATTCGGTAAATACCTAACAATATTTTTCCATTTTTATTGTAAGATGAACATGAAATGGAAAAAAAGAGACGATAAAATATTTAAAAAAAAACTTAGGAAAAAAAAAACACGTTTAACTGTCAAAAGTCTGACGTCTTAAGATTTATTTTGACAGGAAGGTACAGAATGAATTTATGTTATCACCTGATAAGCTTTGTGGAAATCAAATATTAATCTAGACATATAAAATACTATGAGGTCGTCACAATAACAGAAAATCGTTCTATTTGATATTGCCTACGCGAGAAATGATTAATAACATTTTCTTATTAACTGAAAATATTATTAGTATAATACATATGACATTTGTAGGTATACATAGAAATAAAAATCCTTTCTATTTTTCAAATACCATTAATATTAAAACTAATATCCAAAGTGTAAAACATTAACTGTAAACAAAATCGGTCTTTTCCAACTTAAGTATATGTTTTAAATAATATGTATCTTAATATGAAATAAAACGTCTTACAATCAAATAGATAAACAAGCGAAATATAGATATGTTTGTATAGAACCAATATTTTCCAGACCATTTTAAAGTTTCATAAGATATTTACCAATAAGATAAAAACATTCTACAAGGAAAAAGTTATTTATCGTGGGTGTTTTATTAGTGTTCATTATGGCAGGATCTGGAATATTTAAGCTATGTTTCATTTTGCATCAACTTTCAACACCCTCTGTGATTGGTATATATATATATATATACTGCACAATCCACAACAGAAGCAGAGAATAGCATTGAAATATCCCTTGGATTTATTCCTGATATTTACAGTTGAAAGTAAGCACACCGCACGTTGTTTTGGTCCCTTAAGACCACTAATGAAAA